CTCTTGTGTGATTCCTTGTAATAGGAATAATGTTTTGTATCTTTTAACTATCCCTATGATAATTAATTGGAAGGTAATTGGTTGTTCAAGTTGGTTAATACACCCTTGCTACACAAGAGTGTGGGAAACTAAATGAAGGATGAAAACTATAACCTCAATACATATATAAGAACTTATATGTATAAGTATAGTTTTTTTCAAGAAAGTAAAAATGGTTTTTTAAGACATCTAAGAGTTTTGAACAATAATAAAGAGTGACTTGATGTCATTTTAAATAAACATTTCAAAAGTAATACATTTGATAACAAAGTATTTTTAAGATAGAAAACCATTTCATGCATCACATTTTGTAGTATGTGAAATCTGCTAGATGGAAACACGGTTATAAAATACATATGAGTGATTTAATAACATGCTGTTTTCTACTTGTATCCCCCCCCCCCCATTAAAGCATTTAAAATCATTTAAAACATTGATTAAGGGGTATGAACTCACCTGTAAACGGTGGTTTAGATGTATTGAACGGTATCGGATTGTTAAGTGTCAAGTGAGGACTTGTACACACACTATGATCCTAATGAACATATAATCACACATATATGCACCCAATTAGTTTTAAACTACTAATTGTAATTGTTAAGACATCCTAGAACATAATAAACACTTTATATAAGTGTTATAAGCCCTAAGGATTGTATCTAAGTTGTTGTGGGACAAGGCTAAAGGGGTTTAGGGTTCCAAGAGACCCTATACATGAGTTTACTCTTCCATAAACATCACACAAGGAGTTTACGGTCATAAACCCTTGTGTTTACGGATGTGAACTCCTAAGCTTGGTGGTATTTTGTGTTTTGAGGTTCTAAATGATCCCTAGAAGCATTCCAACTTGGTGAATTAATTCTTGGAAAGGTTTAGGGCACTAATATCCTCCTTTGAGGAGTTTACGGCCCCAATGCCAATTCCTTTGGAGTTTACTACCGTAAACTCACATGGAATTGGTGTTTTTATGCTTTCAAGTGTTTAAATTAACTAGGAGTAAATCTAGGTAATTGTCTAAAGCTTTAGGAGTGTTAAAAGCACTCTTTGGTCCTTGTTTTTGGAGTTCACGGTCCAAGAACTTCTTGGGCCATGAACTCTTAAACTATGGTGTTCTTGGGGTAATTTCAAATCATATACACACTAGCATACAAGCCTAAGGTAGTACAATTCACGGGGGAAGGACTAGGCATCTTTTTAGGAGTTTACTCCCCAAGGTGTTCTTGGGCGGTAAACTCCCGAATCTAGTTGTTTTGTTATGAAATTGATGTTATTAAGCACATTATACACCATATAATACAACTAGAGAGATGTACTCACGATTTGGGATGAAAACCCGAAGACCCGTGAGAGAGAAATGGATTTTCTCTAGTTGGAGATGCAACAAATGAATGATTATGGCTCAAAATTCTATATATAGTCCTGAGATTTTTGGAAGAAAATATTTCATTTCCGTAATGAACTCTAATGTAATAGAGTTTTAGAATAACATAATTGCACGAAACCCTAGTGCATCGACTCTCGTGGTATTTCCTTAAGTGTAAACCCTGAAATATTCAAACTTATACAGAAAAGTCTGAAAATTTACTGTGACTGTTATAACTTCTATTGACTTGATAATGTTCGTACATAATGGAAATTCCGGGTTGTCACAACCAGCATCACCATCCCCTTGATTTTCCACCAATGGGGGATTGACATAGTAGAACCATTCCAACCAATGCCAGGGGGTGTGAAATTCTTGTTAGTGGTTGTGGATTATTTTACTAAGTGGATAGAAGCAGAACCATTGGCCACCATCACGGGAAAAAAATGATAAAGTTCATGACCAAAAATATCTTGGCTCATTTTGGCACCCCTAGAAATATCATAAGCGATAACAGTACACAATTTGAAGGAAGTCTCTTCAAGGAGTGGTGCGAAGACAAAAAAATTCACTGTCGGTTCACATCAGTGGCGCACCCTCAGGACAATGGATAAACTGAGATATCGAATAAAACCATAGTTAATGGTTTGAAGAAAGGGTTACTCAGATCAAATTTTGCCTGGGTGGATAAGCTCCCGACAGTGTTGTGGTCATATTGTACCACTGCAAGGTCAAGTACGGCAGAAACGCCATTCGGTCTAACCTATGGGACAGAAGCAATTCTCCCATTGGAGATAATGTTTGGCTCACTACGAATAAAGAGTTTCAAGGAAACAGCTAATGAAGAGGGATGGTGCTAGCACTTGGACATGATCGATGAAAAACGTGATATTGGACAGGTGCACCAAGCATTTTGCAAATCACACACCGAGAACTGTTACAACTGCCAAGTCCAGGTCAAGAACTTTAAAGTTGGAGAGTGGGTGCTAAGAAAGAATGAGTCCAACTATGCTGAACCATTGGGGAAACTCAGTATCACTTGGGAGGGACATTATAAAATCATGGAAGCCTATAAGAATGGCGTTTATGTATTAGAAGCCTAGGATGGGCATGCAATCCCAAGAACTTGGAATACGCAGAGCCTGCACCATTTCTATTCTTAATATAAGTGTCAAAAGTAAATTGGATGCTATCAAAGGCATAATGTATTAGTTTTGGAATGTAAATTTAACTAGCAAAAATTACTTTAACACTTCCAGTCTTATAGCACTCCAAAAATAAGATTAGAAGAAAAAAAAAAAAAAAAAAAAAAAAAAAAAAAAGGAAATTCAGATGCTCCTTATTTTCAAGCTTGAAAAGTAAAATAAAGAGGTTGTGTACATTTACCATGTGACAACAAGGACTGATCATCCAGCATCACATGAGTCAAATCGATACAAGGAGGAATCTAGTGGGTTTGTATAAAAAAAGGTTGATAACCTTTCTCCCAAAACATGTTCATCAATCACATTATAGAAAATAACAAACATACAAAGGAACATGTGGCATAAGTGTAGAAGTGTCATAACCTTCCACTAGTGAGAAAAACACAATCAGGTGAGCCTCAAGATGACGATCTTGGCTACACCTAGGGCCTTTAAGTAGCAAATTAGAACAAATTTCTCAAAGACCATCATTAGTAAAGCATAAGGAGTTCGCAAATAAGAGAACTCGGACCTAGGATTTAACCAAATCCTATATATATATACTATGTGATGGCTAACATAAACCATTCACAAAACAACCAAACAAATGAATATACATGATAATAGGAAACATTCACACCCATAAATTAAAAGCAACTATTGTCAGAACGTCAGACTCCCAGACTTTAGGATTGCCACTAAGCGCAGCAAACACAAAACATTGAAAGAAATAGTAAATATTGCTCATAGAAGTTACATCAAAACAAACCAAGTAAAGCAATGCTACTTATGGGTAGGGGCATTACCATCACTGGGGGAGAGCTTGGGCCTGGAGCTGACCCATCGCTCTGAGCATCTTGACAAAGATCATGGAGCTCGGCCAAGTCCATGTTGCCAATATGGAGATAGCCAGCAAAATCCCTCTTAGTGAACGTCATCATGGCATCTTCCATCTCCTGGGTCTTGCTGGCCACATCCACCTCTGTCTTAGGATTGAACTCCCTAGAAACCACCAGCTCTTTTGTAGCTCTTTTCCCTTGCTCTACACCTGCCACCATGCAAGCTGCCTACACATGAACTAAACCTTGGAGAAATTATGGGCTCTCGATCACCTTGTCCACCACCCGGCTGGTCCCATCGCGGAGGATCCACGAAATATCCTTCTCCAACACCCCTCTTGCGGCACCTTCCCCAACCAGGTTTGTGTCCAACTCTTTCATTAGCTTGCTTAGATTGGTGTTTTCCAAGGTTAGGACTCTCATGCGATCATTCAGCCACTTAACCTCCTCGTCTAGCTTTGCCACTTTCTCTTTTAGGCTTACCTTCTCGCATATCACCACCTCTTGTTGGGCCTCCCAATTGCGCTTACTGACTTCCATCTTCTCCACCTGGGCCTTAAGCTCAGCACATTCAATGCTCACCTTGTCCGCCTAGGACCGGATAGTCTCAATGTTGGAAATACTCTCAGCAGCTACAACCAGGTAAGATAACACTTGGGCAGAAACATAGTGAAGACCATCGGCCATGTGCTCAACCGCCAACATAGATAAAGTTTCAGTTGTAGCAGTGGGAAAGGCGTGATGATACCACTCAAGAGCGGTGTCATAAGTCGGACACAAGGTCTCTGGGGGTTAGGCTCCAAGATGACTTATAGGCACCTGAATGAGACCCTGCAGAAGGAGGGACAGTTCCTGTTTTACCATGATAATTTGAAACGAGACCATGAGAAGGCAAAGACAAAGTCTTCACCTTCTTTCCTCTAGTAGTAGGATCATGACCGTTCATGTTAGTGTTTCCTTTCTCTATATGACTGGGAAGTTCAGTTACCCTGTTGTGTGCCCCCTCCAGCAGTTCCGGAGGGCTTTCATTGAGGGAACTGGTGGAACCCTTTGAACCCCCTAGCAAGAAACTCATATTATACTTCTTACAAAGAAGGGGATCGATGTTAACCATCTCATGACTGTCGTTGGAAGAAGTTTCCAAGAAAGCAAATCGCCTATTAACGCGACGGAGACTCCTTGGGGACCCGAAAGGGGCGGGATCCTTCTGAGAAGTGCTAGTAACAACAACCTTCTGCAGATCTGGATCCTTGCCGATGCCAACAGCACTTTTCGAGCCAATGGTAACCTCAATTCCCCAACCAGAAATAGGGGGTGGAAGAGACTCTACAAGGTCAACATCACGACACTCAAGATCACCATCAAATAAATCTTAAAGAGCTTTCTTCAAAGAAAAACCTCCTCCACACGTGGCAACAAAACAAAGACAACAGTGGTTAACCAAAATGTCGAGTTTAACGCGCTTTTCTGAATAAAAAGGGGGGAGGATAGCAAGAGAAATTAGAAGGGGAAACATAGTACCCTCCTTCTCGACGAAAAACCCGGACATCTTCCCGCGAACCCTCCAAGCGGTGCTCATCCCACCAGCGGCCAAGAAGCAATCCAGTCAATCCTCACCATTGATGTCGATCTTCTCGATGACATCAACGAGCTCTTTTTCAGCACCGAAGAGTCTTGGAGCATGGTCGATGTACGCTTAGTCCTAGGATAGCTAAGCGCCATAAAGTCATTATTCACCCATAGAAACTTATCCTGCCAGTTCTTCTTGAACCTTTTATCGTGGATAAGGGTAGGGACTCCCCGCCGATGGGAAAGGGTCCGAGTCCCCGACTGAGTGGAAGCATTGAAGAAATACTTGAATGTTGAAACAGTTGTAAAATAGCAAAGGATACGAAAGAGGGCTTCAAAACCCATTATCTTGTTTATAGCAATCCGGGCCAGCTCCCTCAAGGAATACCCATATTCACGGATAATCCGATTAAAGAAGTCTGTAGTGGGTAAATGCATACCCGCCTAGAATAAGATGATCGAAATGCCGACCTTGACCTCGGGAGGACTATAGAGCGATGCATCGGGAAGAGGAATCTTAACCCCATGTTTGGGGACGAACCCAAATCGAAACTGAAAAGACTCCTATTCTTCAGCAATAAGATCCCTACCAGAGAGACGATTGGTAGCCATGGAAAAACGTAAAGAAAATGTCGAAAGAGCTATTTGAGACAGGAAGGAAGAAAGAAAAAGGCATAGAGTGAAGAGCAAATGACTGGGGAAACAAGGGAATAAATGCTACTAAAGCGGCAGCAAACCGTGTCAAGATGAAACCGCCGAAGAATGGCGACATCGTCCTGACAACTGGATAAATTACCAATATCAGTCTGCCACGTGTCTACAACTAGACCAGAACGAATCTGCTACGTCACAAACGCAGAAGCCTACTAGTCTAAGGGACTTGTTAACATTATCATAAACGGCCACGTTAAACTTAACAGAAAGCACTAACGAGGCGTTATCTAGCCAGGACCATGGCTTGGACCTTGTCTTGGCCCAAGTAGGCCAGCATTGAGCTGGTGGTCCATCTTTCCCTCATATGGATTGAATCTTCCACATAATATTTTCATTCTCTCACAACCAATTGACGTCACCTAGTACTTAGTTATCGTGGGCATACTCCTCCCAATAACATAATGCCACGTCTCAATCCCAAACGGGAGAATCGTTTCATTCCTTTAGAAACAAGTTTAAAAGGATCTCTTCCATCTCAAAGAAGGGATGCATCTTCTTCTTCACACAATCTACCGTAAACTCTCTCTAAGAAAACTAACTTGATCGTCAGAGCGACATCTCGGGAGAACACCCGGTCATCCTTTAACAATTCTTTTGCGTTGTGTTCTCAGGTAACTTCCAGGACAGAACCATCATCCAGCTTCCAAACCCCTACTGAACATGTCACAACAGTCTCTAATCCAAACTATTGTTTCACTATTCATTCTTAACCCAGAAGTATAACACCCTATTTCTGGCCTTACAATATAATCGACCAGTCACGTAAATAGACGTTTTTGCTAGAGGACTATTTAGGATAAATAGTCTTGAAGAAAGTCGTAGTAATCGCAAAACCAAGAGAATGAGTAGAAATAATTAACGTCCAAATTTGACTTCATAAGAGGAAGTTATGATTTTTAGAAGTTTCAACGCAACAGTGTACGATACAGAAACCGAAATAGAGATCGATTCATTGTTAAGAAAAAAAATCTAAATGAGAGTTGAAGTTCTCGTCCATGTGATTTCATCGATATAAATACCATTAAGAACATAATTTATATAAGAGAGTTATGATTTTTATACGGGCTTTAACAATCTAAGTCAGTTAAAAATATAGCATTAAAAATAAAGTGAGAATTAGTCGACGGTGTCCAAATGAAAGTTGTAGATCTCGTTGATATCTACGTGTGGGTATAAAATGCATCGAAAATAGAGCTCGTATGAAGAAGATGTGAGTTATTGAAGAAACAAAAAAAATCCTTGTGTGCGCGTGCACGGTGCACACTGACACTGCACCCTTTATCTACCACGTTTCATGTGACTACTAGAGCCACATCATTATGTCTGACCAAGTGTGCAGAGTGCAAGCAAAATCCCCATATAAATAGCCTCCGAACTTCAGTCCATTCCCATACCCTTTCAACTACTCTCTCTCTATCTCGAATTTCTTGTTGGTTTAGCTCTAGATTTCCCTTAGGTTAGTATTTGGTTAAGCCCTACGGTGTTACATAGCCAGTGAATAAAAGCTCCAAAATTAGAGTTCTTCCCGCATAATTCCTGGTTTCATGAGAAACTCTTTGTAAGTTAGCTTATACTTACTATGATTTAAGTGTAGCTTATATTTATATTCATAGTCGATGTTATGAATGTATAAATAGGAACTATCAGTAATTCTAGTTATAATGTTGATTAATCTACTTACGGGAGATATGTCTAGAATGGTTACGTTGACTTGGCTGTTGGATTTCAGAAAGGATATACGCCGAAATGATCCTACCTCCCAACTATTCGTCATGGTCGATCCTTATTTGATAGAACTTTCAGTATTAATTGGTATTAGTGATGGATCTAGCTTTCATTATCAGATTTTCATAGGAATTGATTTGTTATAGTATTCTAGGTTAATATTTGTTAGATGGATTACCCGTTACGTCGGAAGTATATCTGTCAATCGTCGGAGTAATTGTCCAGGTGAGGTATTTCACTATACCATGTAGTAATATATATATATATATATATATATATATATATATATATATATATATATATATATATATATATATATCCATGTATGTTAGGATAGAGAACTAGTATAGTAGAGTTGATAATATAATTTCTATGTGCTTAACTTTGAACTACTATAGTAGAAAGTATAAATGTGTTTGTATTAAGAGAATTTAAAGTGCAGTCTCTATGTGTGTAATTGTTGTGATATTAGAATTAGATAGAGGGAGATGGTAGAAAAAGTTAATGAGGCCAAGAACCTATATGCCCGCATAGATTTAGTTAGGGGTGACGGTGGAGTAGTTCAGGAGGTTAGGAGCCTAGGAACCGACATTGATCATTTAGGGGATGTTGGTGGAATGGTTAAAGAGGTCCTGAACCTAATCCAAGATACACACTTTATTGGCATATCATGAGCCATTATATGTATGCATGTATATGTATTGTGGTATATGGTATTTTTGGGAACTCACTAAGCCTAGCGCTTAACCAGTTGAATATAAATTTTTTTTAGATACTCATGTGAAGGGCAACGTTCGACTGTACACACGCACACTCACAAAATTTTCCATACAATGTAATTATACTCTAATATATTTTGAATAAATAAAATGAAAATTTTGGGGTGAAAATTAGGATGTTACAACTTGGTATCAAAGCGCTGGTTTGGGCGAACTACATGAACACTCATGTAATTCCATACTCAAACCAAGTATCTAAATATCTTAATAAACCTTTTTATAAAAAGAATAATATAAAAATAATGTGGTGTGTATAGTCAATCGAAGCTCAGAAAGGAAAGTGATTTCCAAAATATCCATATTTGTTATGTTTGTTAATATGTGAAATGTTAGAAATCCATGTTAGTATGTAAGTTAGAGAATTGCTTGTTATTTGTTTCTTAGAACCTACATTAATATTAGTTCGTTACTTGACAAATACATTAGGTTGCAGGCTCCCAGAATTAAATAGTTTTAGATTGCCTGATTTGGCAATATTTTGTATCTCCCATATGAGTCTAACTTTTGTAGTGTTTGATCTCTCAATCAACAACTGCTTGGGTTTAGAGGCCTAAAATCGTACTCATCTAGTAGTCAGTTAATATTGCTAGAAGTTTTCCTCGGAAGATATAAGGGTGAAGTGGAAAAATTCCTAAAAGAAGTCTTTTAGAAATTGCATGTTAGAATTATCTGATGAGTTAGATGTGTTATATCCTATGAATTTGTTGTTCGATTGTTGCTTCGAACCTATATTGATATTAATTAGTTATTTGACAAATACGTTAGGTTACATGCCCCCAAAATTGAATAGTTTTAGATTGCTTGATTTGGCTTTATTTTACAACTCTTATATGAGTTTAACCATTGTAGTGTCGGATTTTTCAGTCGACAGACTATTTGATTTTACCAGCATTTAATCATATTCGTCCAATAATTAATTAATATTGGTAGAAGTTCTTCTTCAACTAATAGTAGCGTAAAGTGGAAAGGAATCTTAGAAGGAGAGTCTAGGAAGTTTAATACATGCTTGATAGGGCATATGTTCGTAAAGTATGGCATTCATAAACATACAAAGTTCTAGTGGAGTTTAGGAAAACATGTTGTATGTGCTCATGGGACACATACATATTGTTGGGGTGCAAAGTTCTTCATTCATGACTTTGTAAATGTTTGACTTTTGTAAAACCCACTTGCATGTGGTGCTTTAGCCTTTAGACCAATTTGTTAGAGAGTGAGAGAGAGAGAGACATGTAAACACCACTATAAATAATGGGTTTGTCCACTTGTAGAGGTGTGCTTTGAGAGATGTAGAAGTGAGTGTGTAAGTGTGTGTTAATTATGTAGTCTAGATCTAGATCCTTTTTGTAACACCATATACATTCAATATATCTCTTAAACACCCAAATCACCATGTTCAATTGAAGAGCTATAATTCTGCATGCCAAACCATGTTCTATGTCACTACAATTAGTATCAGAGCGGGTCTTCAAGATCAAGGTGATTTTTGAAGAACGATTCTCGATTTGGCAATTTTTGTCGTAATTTGAACAATTTTGGTGAGTCTCACTCTATGATCTCTTGAAAATTTTGATTCCGTGCGTTGTGTTTTTGATTTGTGATCATTTGACTCATTGGATCAAATTTTCTTTGAGAAACCCATTTGTTGTGATCCAATAAATTTTTTGTTGATCAATTCTCGATCCAATTCCAAATTCGTATGTTTGATGTGATTCTAAATTTTTTTTAATCCATTTGTTTGTTCGAATTCTAAATTGTACTCATTGATTGTCACAAACGAAACATAACCCCAAATTCGAATTATCCTGTTCACATAGTCCGATCGTGTGACAAATTTGATCTCATTACTATTCATCTTCACACTTTAGCCCATTGATTTCATTACTTGAGCCCAAGATTGATTAAATCATTTGGATACTCTCATTGTTTTCATTCTACATTCTATGCTTAGCCAACTTGTACTCTTAATTTCATTCCTATATTCCAGTTACATCTATAGCTCTTTAATTTTTTTGTTCTTGAGTTCCGATCTTTCTTCATCAGTTGTTTGGTACTAAGAAACAAAATTGACAGTAGATTTATCTAAATTCGTTTTTGATGATTTTGATATCGATGAATTTGTTGAAATCGAAAGGTCATCACAAAAAGTCAAAATTTGTAAATAACATAGATCTGAATTGTTGATTGGCCTTGAAATCGAAAGTTTCTCTGTTAAAGTCAAAA